TCACGCTGCATCCCTATCTGTCACCAACCGGCTCTATTTGTCGCTTCTGCGTGGTGCTTTCCTCTCGAGCTTGCGCCGACACCCCAAACCCCTAACCTCTAAGGCATAATCCGAAAACCCGAACATAAACCTCAAACCCTAATCCCCCAACCCTGTATAGACCCCATAAGCCCAAAACCCCTTGGCACTGAACCCTAGAAAGACCCTATATAAAGCCCTATAAGCCCTAAACTCTAAGCCCTAAACCCTATATAAACCCTAAAAAGCCCTAAGCCCCAGGTCTCGGCCAGCACTCCGAGGATCCGGAGAACCCAGGCAGATGCTACTGCCCCAGGCGAGGCCGTGTAGTGTTTAGGGTTCAGTGAGGCCTGGGGGGCGGGGGGGGTGACTTAGCCGACCAAATGCCTAAGTTTCAGATCCCGTCAAATATGTAAAGTAATACAGTATATCAGTTTAATGTACTCTCTTGTATAATGTTGTATAATATATTATGCTATAGTATACCGTTGTGTAATATAGCAAGAAAGTGTATAATTTTGGTAGAATACAGTATAATATAGTATGCTGTAGTATAATATCGTATGCTCTGCTAAAATCAAAAATGATATGATATGGTATGAGATATAAAAAAGTCCCTCCGCAGCCCGGCAGGATCTACGGAGTTCGAGACTTCCGGCAGTTCGGATATCTCATGGTCGTGCAGCCGCCCTACACGCCTGAGCGGGTTCGCAGGCATCTGAGGTGATGGGCTTCGGGGTGGGCGCTCCCAACGGGTCCCAAAAGGGGAAGACTTGCCCAAACCATCATGGTATAAATCCCACGCCTAAACCCTTAACCCTACTTTCTACTGTGTAGGTACTTTGGACCCTTTGGGACTCTTAGCCCTGGCTTCGGGAGAGTCAGCCTTGAGGCCAAGCGGTAGCCACGATGCTGCGCTGTCAGAAATAACACATGATACCACATGGTAACGCAATCTAACATANNAACCAAGACAATGTTCTATCATCACATAGTCTAACGTGTTGGAGTAGAAAAGAACGGAAATTGAATATGAAACGTTATAATTATAACACAACATATGGCATAACACAGTTTTTATAGATATTAAAAAGAAAAGTTTCTTTTTACACCTAGGTACTGGAATGGAACAGTATCACATAATATGACCGAGTATATTCTTGTAGATTGCAGTATATTGCAAAGCAATACAACATCCCTATGGCACAATACTGTATAACACAACAACATAATGCAACACATTTTAATATGTTACTTTATGA